ATGCCAGGCCTGTAAGTGGCGCTGCTGCCGCCACAAAATACACCAAAAGCAGCGAGGAAGACCCCGGAGCACTAGGGTTAGTACTTTCTAAGACCCCGCGGACACCCTGAGGTTATCCTCGTATTAAAAGGTTATGAGAATAAGTTTGATAAATGATTCTGTAAAGACGAACTAGAGAGGGATTCCTTTCCACTTTTTCAACAACACAGCTGCCTTTCATTCAGCCGATTTGATATTTATATTAAACTAGGGCTGTGCAATTAATCGTATTTTAATCTCGATTACAATTCTGGCTTGCAACGATTACGAAAACAACGTAATCGAAATAAAACGATGATTCTTTTTTTTATTATAATTTTTTGTAATAATTTTTTTTATTGTGTTTTCAGTTGAATTATACTTAAAGTTCAGGTTTATCAACTGTTGAAAACATACTGTTCAGATTTTTTTTTTTAAGTAAATGGATAACCGTTTTTTAATAATCGTGATATCAATTATTGACCAAAATAATCGTGATTATGATTTTTGCCATAATCGAGCAGCCTTATATTAAACTGCCGACAAAAAGTGATTGTCTTTAAAGCAATAAATAAATAGTATAACAGCTGATCAGATTAAAATGTTTATGCCACAGCTCCAGCTTTCAATTCCTCTTTTCACGTCTAAGATTAGGACAACGTCTTCCTTAGTCAAATGTGATACTCATTGCGCTACTTTCATTCTGAGCACAGCTGGCTTCTTAATCATTTTCATATCTGGTGCTGCCCCAAAGTTTGAAATCTTATGGTTAATGGTTTGTTTCATTGAGGTCTGAAAAAGTGTGGTGGCCTGAATGCTTTCGTACATGAATATTAACTCCTACGAAGTGTAGAAAATAAGAAAAACATTTAGGTAAAAGCTGAGGGGTTTCTGATGTCTACAAACAGCTGGGAAATAAAGAATTACGGAGAGGTTGCCGAGTCCTTTTCCTTGTTCAAGCACACGCGTGTTAAGCTAGCAGTGCACACATTCTCAGCCATGCTCAGAGTTGCCTTAACAGTCACTTGCTCTGATATGTTTAAGAGATAAAAATGCGCGTACCTGTTTCGTGGCCGCGAGTTTCTTCTGCAGATGCTCGATGGTCTCCTCTGCCACTCGGATCTTCCTGAGGGCATCTTCATCCGCCAGCTTCTTGCTCTCCTTCCTCTCCCTCTCCTCCAGCTCTCGCACTCGCATCCTCAGCTCATCCACCTGGACAGGTAGAGAGAGAGAGAGGGATTATAAGATGCAAAACAAGACATTTGACAAAGCAGGGTATATGCAGGAATCCTGAAGTCAGATGTAATTCCTTTGAAGACCCTTTCACACATTTTAAGACCTCATCGCCACTTTGAGTTCTAGCTGGTTACCTTGGCAACACGCTTTACCTCACATTTACTATATACAGTATTGATTGTCCTTCCTCCTTATCTTCCAACCATTTGGACGCAGACTTGCATTTCCCCATAACGATGTTATTTAACAACCGGCGTAAACGGACCTTTGCGCGCTATCAAGCAGTGAGCGTGCGATGTCCTGTTCAGATGACGTCAAATCCAACGGGATGCCATAAATAAACTACACAGAATCACACTACACAGTGTTTCCCCTATATACAAATAGTGGCGGCGCAGCGCTGGATCTGGGGGGCGCAGTGCTGGTAGCTCTGGGAGGCAAAAAACATTTTTGACCGTTGGCGCTCATCCAAATGTTCGGCCTTGATGTAACAACATTCATAATTAAGTAAATGTAAGCTTTCTGGTGTGTGATATAATTAAATGATGTTTTATTCAGACATTTTTATAAAAAAAGTTAACGTTAAGTATTAATAAATCTACATTATGTGTCCGAAACTTTTAGACCTTTACAAGCAAATTCATAGAAGCTCGAAACTTAACATAGTATTTTCCGAGACACTTGAACGGATAACACACATAGATGAACTGCTCCGCATAAGTACATAGCCACTAATCCGAGATTCGTCCTTACACACAATTCGGTCGACGATGATACCTACGTACAGATCGACCTTGATACGTACGACTATCTTACCATAAAAGGAACGTAATCTGTAGACTTGTAAGTTTGTATTCGTAACAAACTCACTACAGTATCCTACACAACCTGGACAAATGACAGTACACCCAAAGCCGGACAAACAAGAACAAACAAAAAAATGAACTGAAAACGTAAAACAACTAGACGTCGACTTCAGGCCTATGCGTGGCCGTCGAAGTCCTCACTTAGAGACCTCCGGTCTAATGAGACTTGTAAGTCTTCCACTTGAAAGGTATGTTTCGATGTAAACGTTTTTTACCGCTGTACCCTGAAAAAAGAAGCGTGTATTGAACCAAGTGTAGAGTCTACGGTCAAACAAAGTGAGGTACCAGTAAATATTGAATTCCATAAATTATTGTAAAAAAAAAACACAAAAAAAAATTTACATCAAACTCTCAGAGTTACGCCTCAACCATCGTGTTGCGCTCAACCGCTTATCCGTACCGTCTCAACCTCTTGACGTCGCCTGGGGCGCGGCCTCCGTCACTCCTCTCCACTCTTCGGGTTTGCCATTCTAGATTAGAGACAAAGGAATCACTAGTTCTGTGGTAATACTGCGTTACTAATGTAAGTACCCAAACTGTCGGTTTAGTGATCTAGCGTGATGATATACGGCGAACACACTTAACCTCTTGGAGAGAGGAGCTCTGGTTACAAATCTACCGCCATATTAGTGAGGTTATACTAATGTGACAGTAGCAGACTAAAAAGTCTGATGACCTAAAGCAGCTATGTTTTGTCTTTGGCATGATCTCCTCTAGATCGCCCATGTTACAGACGTCAGCGTCAAGAGAACGAAATGTTGTGTCTCAGGGACCCCCTACTTGTGGGTCGACCTTACTTCAGGTGCGACAAATTCGCGGGAGGACGAGTGACGTTCTTGCGGGGGAGCGCTGTCTAGCTCGGTACTCTCTCTCTGAAGGAGGTATGTGTCTAGAGAATTTTATATTTAACAGGGCTAGTCTCTTATTTTTCCTTTTATGAAAAGAAGTGATTGTGTACTGAAAGAATATCAGGACTGCAAGTCTACCGAGGAAAGTACGGGACACAATGATTAGTCAGAAATGGACGAAAGATGGAAACTCATCTAGGAATAACTGTTGCGATGTGGACTGTCACAAATAATAATGGCTACGAACCGTTGTAACAGTTGTTGACAAAGTGAAGAGGTCCTCACTACTCGACAGCGAGGGTCTAGTGTCGACGGCGGCTCCGAATAGGTCGAGCTCCTATGGGGACCGGGTCCACGCGTTTCTTTATGCTCTACAACGCGTAGGCTCAACTCGTCTTGGACCCGGTACTCGTTGCGGTCCATTTAGGTTGTGTGTGAGAGGTCGTGCGGAACCTTCTCCCCTCCCTTTCGTACGGTTGTACCCCGCAATTCTCTACGTAATTCCAATACGAAAAGTGGCGACATGGCTAGCTACCGCACTAGAATCTTACTATGAGTTCTCGGTTGTAATTCCCTGGTCAACTGAAACGGAGAAATGACATCGCGATAAATAAGTAAAATCTATGAAATAAACTCAACGAACGCAAAATACAAAAAAGGCAAACTTTACAAACGGAAGGGAACTGATATGGACCTTGAACTACCGTGAACGCCGAATTACGACAAGTTTCGCGTTACTCGCTTTGTACATTATTACTGGGACAGTGAGTTCTACGACAAGAACCGACAAAAATAAAACTTTATACAATATGATCACTTTGACTTGAGTAGTTTGGTGTAAAAGTCTTTCTCTTTATCTGTCTAACTATAGTCTCTTCGGTGATCGCCATTGTCCCACATAGAAAGTAAAACTGTCAATTGACAGTAACTCGTTGTGTGTCTAGTTGTTCGTGTGCAGATAGACTATAGGACACACCATTTGCGTAACGGGAAACAAATCACCACATATTATTGGTAAACATAGTAGTACTGAGGGGACGAGTGAATGACGGGGTCTATTGACTACTGAGTTTGGGTCTGGTGTCCAACTTAACGAGAGACATAGACGAGAGAGTCCGGTTAGTTGTCTCTCTACTCCGTAAACTAGTCGTGCGGAAGTTTGTTGTGGGTGGACGGTCGAGCTTCCGCCCTGCACGTCGCGATGTTCTCCTTCGACGCCCTTTGGGTCTACCTCTAGTTATTCCTCTACTTTTTTTGATTTAGTGCTAGTTTACACCACTACACAAACTAAGGTCACCCTAGGTTTCCCCAAAGACTTGAGGTGGTTTTGTAATGCTCACTACGCAACGTCGATGGGTCACCAGGGAAGTAAGTGGAAAACGGAGGCAGGTGTCAACGCAACAGTTTCACCGCTGTGCCCCTGAGACTAGGAGCTGCTCTGGCTGCTTACTGTCGTAGCTTCACTTCTTTCTCTCTACTGCTCCTGGTACTCCTCTCCTCTCTCCTCCTTCTCGACCTCTCCGTTCGCCCGGGGCCCTCCTCTCTCCCTCCGGCTGGCTCTCGCCTCTTCCCTAGCCCTCTCTCTCTCGTCGCGTCGCTGCTCGACTTCTCCTTCCTTAGCCTGTGAGACTTCTACGAGTCTCATCTTGAGTTCATAGGATGAAATGAGTAGCGAAATGTAAGATAAAGATACGTAAGAAGACCGAGAAAAAAATGGACAGTTACTTACTAGGAAAAGTTGGTTTACACACATAGGTTGTATGGTGACGTGAACTAGCCTAATGACGGTAATGACATTAGAAAAAGAGAGGAAACTGAGCAGTCCTTCGGGTCCTCAGACGGTCTTTCTCTACTCGAGAACAACTGTCCATGTTTAGCGAGGTTTTTTCTCGGGTCTCCCCTGTTTCAAGTGAGTTACCGGCGGCTGCATTTAGATTCGACTCCAAACAAGAAACCACAGAAACAGAAAGAAATATATGAACGGTACCAGAGGCGCCCCAGAATTTTTAATAATTTTCAACTAAATCGCTCTTTAATTCCGAGATTTTTCATTATTTGCCGTAAAAGGTTCCATAATTTAAAACATCGTACAAAAGTTATTCATATATTAACAGGTTTCTCCCAACATAAGAGTCCAGGACGGAGCTGTGACATAGTAACGCTATCCGTGCACAAAGGGGAGGTCCTACCGTCAGTAGTCGTCGAACGATTCTGTGCACCCGGTCGGTATATACCTCGCACCTCGGCGGCAGGCGCTTAAAAAAAACCGGCCGCAGCGCTTTACGCGACGGTTAAACAGAGATATACAGCGGTGTTCTTTCGCGAGACGTTCCAGAGTGTGGCATGGTCCGGGCCAGATCTGTTAAACGACGGGATCCACTCCTAAAATTCCGCTGTAAAATTACATTTCTTTTCCCCCCATGTCCCGGCCATGACGGGGGCCCTTATAAACAAAAACTTGTAAAATGTCATTTACGAGTGGGACCAGTGGACCACGTGAAACTCGTGTTCTAATGATCTCTGGTCCAAATGTAAAATTATTAGTTTACTCATACACTTGTATTGGTTATTGGAAGGTATCGGTTATTGTTTATTTACTCGAATAAAATAAAAACAACAAGTATGTATAGAATAAGAAAGATGGATGGCCATCAAGTGTAAGAGATAAATAAATTACGTATAAAAAACATAGAGAGGTCGGAATTGCGTATAAAAACCAGAATGGAGGCAGGAGATATCGAGTATTAACCTTGACTAAAGGTTTGGACAAAAATGGAAATAGGATATTAATATGGTTCCTGCACGGAAGCCTTTATACACAAATGTCATTAAACACCAGTGTTTGCAAACTGCCTGGGGTGACTCTATGGAATCTGATTTTAATGATAGATTTATGAGTCTCTCAGGGAATTGGAGTGACTCGGAGAGTCAGACCTGTCCTCTCGAGAGGAGGTGGGGACCAACATCTGTTGTAGATGAAAGAATGATAGCGAATCGCGTGAGATCGTGGTCTAATTATGGGTGTCGAGAGGGTAAACAGCGAGAGGAGTCATGGCTGCGAGCGAAAACCGCACACTCGACGCCCGCGGACTATTCGGTTGTAGGGGGTAAAAGTAGTGAATGAGCGGGTGGCATGTCCCGGGTTTAATTTACACATCATGGCCCACCNATTGGTGAAGAGTGTTGTCAGTCAGGGAGCAGCGAGTGCTACTTTTGATTGAGTTCATGTGTGAAAAGCTTGATTCACATGTGTATGTTGATCCAAACATACTGAGCACACAGATCGCTACTTTCTGAACGTTAGGGAACTGCTGTTTTTTGACATCACTCCAAAACTTCGCTGGCCCGTTAGTGCGCTGCATGTGTATATTTCCCCTTGTCGATGCAGGGGACCACTTCCTTTGCTCTGGTTGATACGTCCCCCTCTATTGCAACAGTGAAGGGGTCTTTGGCAAAGCCCATCATCACCTCTGTGGGCAGAGCAAGTCCATCCAATCGACCGGCAAAGTTCTCTTTCAACCTCGCAATGAAATCTGTCACCACATCCGTGATTTGTGCCGGAGATGTGATGTGTTTGGGGAGCGTCGGGAAATGCAGCATCTGACCCGTGCTCAAGTCGGTCGCGAAAAGGTCCAGCTTGACTTGGATCTGCTCCACAAGATCAATGACCGTTTTGTCTCTGTTTACGCTTCAGAGTTGAGAGAGACATGTTTTAGAGTTGCTAACATAGGACCACCGTTACTAGCACCACTTGATGCACTTTCAAAAAACGTGCTGCGTTGTGGTTTGGTGGTTTCTATGCAACGTGGAGTGTTGCGTTCATGGTCTGTAGTAGTGTAGGAATTTGGCTACGGGAGGCTGGGCCACTCGGGAGTTGGTTCTGGGCCGCATCTGGCCCGCGGGCCGCCAGTTGAATAGGCCTGGTGTAGTGGATACTGCCCTGAATGACAGACTTTTTTCCCATTCGTAAAAAAAAGGCGTATTCGTCGTGTGACTGCATGTGCCGAACCGTGACGTCTGAACCGTGACGGTACGGGACGAATACGGATACCGTTACACCCCTATTCATGACTTTATAAAAGCAAATACTGTTTGTCTTTGAATTATATTGTCACTTAAAGTTACTAAAACAAATACTCTCAATAAAAAAACTACTGAACAAAGGACTGTAACTTAAATGTACAAAAACACATACCTTTACAAAAACTAATACCAATTACTGTATTTTATGTTTATTTTACACAATTACTTTATACTGTCTTTGTCTTTTTAACCCGCTTTTATTGTGCCCCTCTCATGAAATAACTGGCCCCAGCCTGGCCCCCCTAGTAAAATTGGTCTAGAACCGGCACTGCCTTTTATCCTCAACCACTGTCTTGTATCTATTCTTAACTTCATGGTGATCTCTCCTTGCCCCCCTGCTTCTGTTTTCTCCAGAGGATTACATAGTGATGCAGTTTGGCCGGGTAGCAGAGGACGTCTTCTCCATGGATTACAGCTTCCCCATGTGTGCCCTGCAGGCCTTCGCCATCACGCTGTCTTCTTTCGATGGCAAACTGGCCTGTGAGTGAGCCATGCTGTCGTACCTCACTATATCCCTACTGTTGAAAGAAACCTACAGTTTAAATGACAAGGACACCCATCAGTTTGCACAGTGTCATTTTTATTTTTTAGTTTCCTGGTGCTTTGTAACATCATGTAAACACTAAATATGAAAAGCCTGCCACAGACTTAGACTTCAGAGACTTGTTTTATAGGTCCAGTATTATTTTACAGCAGATTTTATATGGAAGTTTAATACAACACAATTATGTAAGTCATTTTATGTAATTGACTTGTCTTTCTTTTTATATTTGCCAGCTGTGTAAAGGACTTAAAATATTGGGGACAACAGTGTAAAGACTACAAAATATTAAATGACGGTATTACAAGGTTTTAATGTCCATGAATGTTTTTTTATTTATTTATTTTAATCAGGAAGTGTCTACTGCGTTTAACATGATTAAAGGATGTTTTCAAAAGCCTTCTACCGATATTTTGTCAGATTAGACGTGTTTTTCTAACCAACGCTAACATCTGACTGTTATGTGTCATATTTAGTCTTTATCAAAATGAAGGAAACTCTTATCAAATTACCAAAAACGCTCATATCAGATGCAGCGGTAAAGCAACAAGTTTCAGATAAAGGTAACTAATCAGGGTTTTCGCTCTTGCGCAATATAAAGACATGAACATATTCCCTCTCATAATAACTTCATGATGATCGCCTGCGTGTTTCAGAAACTGTTCACATGCAGAGAGTCATTTAGGTTTCCACAAATAAAAATAGGCCTGCCTCTATGCTCTGTGGTGTAGTAAAGAGATCAGACGAAGACAGATATTTTGGATTGCAAAAACCCAAATTAAAAGTGTGTTGTCACATTGACATGACTGTCTGCATGCTGTTTACGGTTTCCTGCTTAAATGCTCTTTCTATAAACGTATACATAAAAAAGAAGCCCTGAGAGGTTTGTCTTTTAAACTTTGAACCTTTGCAACAAGTCATCTAGTTGACATGCTGACAATACATTGCACCCTTGGGCCACAAAGTATGAAAAGACTGAAAAAGCTTTAACTGCCACAGGTTTTTAAACTCCAAAGCAACAACATTGTGAACATCAGAGGAAGTAACCGGTATCTTTTATAAGAATCATCCAAACACACACAGAATCATCTTCAAGCTGATCTCCCCTCCCTGCTCTACTCATTGCATAACACTCCAGTAAATTGCACAATAATTCACGTTTTCAAATTGCAGGTTGCTACACTTGACAAAGACAATAACCATGCCTTATTAGACATGTTTTGACAAATGAGATGACATCAAATAAGTGAAGGCACTAATAGAGCACACTAGCTCGAAGTGAGTCTGGGCATTTGAGTGCCTGATTATTAAAAGCAGCCTCACAATGATCCATAGACAGCTGCGTTTGTTAAGCTAAAATACATGAAGTCACTTTGTCATTAAGTCCAGTGCATAAAGAGCGCATGGATCAATTAAGATATACTCTTAATTTGTGCTATCCTTCTTTTCACATTTTAATGTACAAAGAAGGATAGTTGATTTGAGTCAAGTTAAATTTAACAACTGCATTTGTTTAGTTTTTTTGTCAAAATGAATCTCCCTTAAATTCTGGTATCTTCCAGCTTTGTGCCTAATCAGTAAATTACTTTAAGTGAATAAATCTGCAGGACACTAAAAGAACGAAAGCTAAAAGAACTTCAGACTAATAACTAACAGAAATAGGTCTAATAATGGAGAAAAATACAACTGTTATACCAAACTAAAAGAAAATACCTGGGATAATAAACTTAGTGCACAGGATGATAGATTAAAGTGGTGACCTGAAAACATTCTGATTGGTTAAACTGTAGCCTCCCCCCTTTCACACACTTTGCGCTCTTAAAAGAGCACATCCTCTCCCACCAGAGCATGTGAATGATAGCTATCAGAGTGATGCCTCTCAGTCTTCATTAAAAACTGTTTAACGCAGCGCTTCAGGAGGGCATGACTTAAGAAATACCCCTCGATGTGATGGATGGTCGCTCTCCGCTGAGGATGAAGCTGCCGATAGTGTTTCTGCTCGTAGCCACCAACATTGTCTGTCTGCACGGATCTAATACTACAGGTAATGTATTTGCTATTATCTCCTTTAATTATAAAAAATATGATAGAATATCATCACGATCAAGTTGCTTACCCTAACCCTAACCCATTAAATGTAAGGGTCATTTGCTTAGAAAATACATACTATACAAGATAATCAAATCATAATCAAATCATCAATCATAAAATATTTGTTGATTCTGAAAAGGACCTTAGGCTATGGTGTACTCTATACTCTGACACTCCCAATAAACAGTTTAAATATTTTTCAGGCGCGGTGACTGTTCCTCACTGTGTAACAGATTACCTGTACACCGTGACCTGCTCCCTGAGCATGCCGTCGTCAGACAGCAACGTCTCCTACTGGCTCACCTTCCAGAAAAGGGAGTAAGTTGTTTTTTTTACAGGCGCTTGTTAAAAATGGATTACCTTAATTGTGATGATGACCTTGTGTTTCCTCACTCCTTTGTGCAGGAAGGTATGTTTGTGTATGCTGACGAACACAGATGGGGAATACTTCTGCTCCTTTAAAAGAAGAGGTCCGAGCTTTAATCGTCAGGAGGCTCATAAAATCTCACTTTGTTCCAAGAAAAAGGATGGGTCTGAAAGCTGTACAGAGCTGGTTGATAAATATAAACCTGTGGACCACAGTAAGGAACACTCTTTTTGGATTATTTTCCAAACGAGACACACAAAACATAATTAGATTCATATTTAAGTAATCTACCGATTAAAAAAACCTACATTTGTCTTTGATGTGTCCTTTGCAGTTAAACCAAATGCACCCTGCTGCCTCACAGTCCGGCACAACGCAAGTCAACACCACTTCACCTGGAAAAGCACCTATGAGGAATCTGCTGGTACCACCGATCTGGTCGACAGTCTCAAGTTTCAGCTTCAGTTTTACAGAAAAGGAGACGCACAAAACGTGAGATTCAAAGATGAAGAAATAACCCTGTTGGTGGTAATAATGGAAGTAAACAAGCTTTTTGGGAAACAGCGCTAGTATTTCAGTGGCAGTTAAAATATATTTGACAACGAAGAATAGAAAGTTGGATTAAATCTCAAACATGGACAATTAGGCATTAAAGGATAGTAACGAAAACGGTACACATTAGAAATTCAAATATTAGTTTAAAGACTTAAAGGTGGGGTAGGTAATTCACTTCAGATACACTTTTTGTTATATTCCATGGAATGCTCTTAACATCCCGATAGCAATGAATACATTAAAACATGTAATCTGTGGAAGCCGTGGCGCTGTAAAAAGCACGACCAATCATCTGAGACGGCCCGGCTAAAGTAACTGGATGGCCTACCTGCCTGTCAGCCTTCCATTTGTGCACAAACTGATCTCGTGCCCTCATTGGTCATGTGCGCGTTCGTGTGTGTTGGAGGAGGGGCTCTGTAAGGAAGTCTGAAGGAAGGGGCAGATTTCTTTCGGCTGCACACTTTCAAATTCTAGCGCACTCGAGCTGGTTTCTCCCAAATGTACCCTAACTTTAATTGGAACAAAAATACTGAGTTTGTAAATGACATAACAAATAATGAAATAGGACATATTTTTGGTTTTATTTATCAAGCTATATTAAATTAAATGTAGCCAAGGCTTTAATCATAAGGGACTTAAATGCAATCAACAATTAGGATACACGTTTGAACAGCAAGAATCCTGTAAATTCAATTTAAGATATGTTCTGTCCAAGCTGCAGTGGAAACAGGTGGGTTTTCAGTCTGCAATGAAAGATGTGCAGACCTTTTATAATTTTGCAACTATGGCAAAAAAAAAACTTTTTTGTAACTCTTTGCCACTGTGCGAGGGAGTTTGACCCAAATTACTGCGACTAAGTTCACGCATTTCAGAGATCTTACAATAATTTTCCTTTCACTTTTCACACTGGTGATGTCAGCTCCTAGCAGTGAAGAGAACTTGTCTACGTGAGAGGCGACCACAGCAACAGCTCAGTGTGGTGATGGCCTTTGGGTGAAAGTGTGACTTTATTTGACCCATCTTTTTACCACGCTCATTTTGACATGCTAAGAACGTAATAACGGCTCTGTTCTACTAGTCTCCCAGTGAGCACCGCCAAATTAAAGGAAAGGAATACTTCGGATTTAATACACCCAGAAAATAGTTACCAAGCGTTTGTTGCTTGAATATTGAAAAAGACTTTCTCTTTTCTTTCATATTCCTTGAAGAACAGACGAAGAAAGCTCTTGATGAATTAAAGTAGATCTGGCCATGTTTAAAAAAAACAACTATATAAATAACAAATCAATTTACAAACTGAATGTGAAACCTTTTATTCATAAGTGTTTTAAATGTTCAAATGCATGTCTGGGAAGTATGCAACAGGATAAATGAGACTTAGATTTGACCTCTCAAGCTTTTTGATTTTGTAAACTGATGTTTTTTTTTTTTTTATATATATATAGATTTGCTGTTGTTTAACGCTTCCCCAATTTGCTTAAATCAACACATTTGACTTATTTAGATTCTTCAATTGATAATGTGTCCCTTTAAAGCCAACTGTTGTGCCACACTGAACATGACGACTGTTTATCACAATATTAAAGCTTTTTAATTGATTTTGACCCCTCTACAAATAGGGACTCCATTTTCATTTATAATCAAATTGTATTTAAATAACAATTAGATCAATTGATACTAAAAAATAGTAGGCTTTTGGGGTTTGGTCAAATTATAAGAGTGACAAACTTGATATGGGTGAATAAAAAAAGGACAAACAATTTGTAAAGAATTAGAAGGACATTGTAAAATGGTCCTAAGCAATTCAAATATTGTCAATTGTAACTGTATCGTTTTATTACCATTACAACAGAATTGGAATATTGTTTTACCCATCTGTCTGCATCATCCCGTCATATTATCTGTAAAGAAATACATTAGTTAGTGAGCACAAACTGGGCCCACAGGTCATGCTTCTCCTTTCCAAAGTTAACTCACATACTACTCTGTTCATTTCAGGTGTCAAATCTTGCCGTCACCAATCTGGATTATTCAGTGGATGATCAACGTTTTGATCCAGACACCGAGTACGCGGCCAGAGTGCGGACCAGTCCTGGTCAGCAGCATTACAAAGGAGAGTGGAGCGACTGGTCTCCTGAAGTGTACTGGAAGACAGAGGCAGCTGTGAATGGTGGGCCTAAAAATAATATTTAAAAAAAGATAATCTGATCATTTTAGATTAATGAAGAAATTACAGTTAATCTTAAAATGCAATTTGAGAAAGCAACTTCTGGTAATCCATTACTTAAAAAAAAAATAAAAAAAAATCCATATTTGCATCTAGGCCTATTTTTTTAGCCGTTTACTTCTACTAAATGTTGTTCCATACAGATCCCCCACCA